GAGAGAGAGAGAGAGAGAGAGAGAGAGAGAAAGGCAAAGAGAGAGTGAGTGTGATTGATGACCAAACCTTGTCAGTGTCTGATCGATCAGTAAAAACCAGACTTGTAATGGAAACAGTACAATTTTTTTTTACTTATCATACTACGTACAAGAGAAAAGCGAACATTTCTTGAGCTCAAATTCTCGCAGCAGATGAGGACCAAGCTCTTTTATGCGCACTTTCTCTTCTAACTGTAGCCTGCTGAATGGCACAAGAAGGCACAAGAAGCAAAGCGTTAACGTGATTCATCTAGATTTCTAGAGAAAGTCAGTTAGAATCTGCAGGATATCCCGTAATCTAGATCTATCGATATTTACAACTGTTTCTGGATGAAACCGCATAAACGCTGCAATAAAATGAAACAATACTAGATCTAACAACTCACTGTGCTCACAATCTGAGAAGATTTTAAGATTTCTAATTACTTCGTGCAGCACCAACAACCAAACGCAATTTGGAAATTTACCTTAACAGGACTTGCTACACAATAGAGGGCGACAACAGTTTCGATACTCATTCTTCATTGAGTTACCGTAGACTCTACTAGTCTACTAGTGTAGTAGATAGGCTAGCGGTAACTTGGATCAAATTTTTAGCTTGCACCAAATTGGTGCTGCGATCAGGAGTTTCACGCACCTTTCTTCTTTTGCGAGTGCAAAGATTTTGCTTGCTCCCAGCAGACACTACCGCAAGCGGTGCGACGAGCATAAACCCTCCTCGCTGTCTGTCTCTTCACTGGCGCGCGCGCAGCCAGTGGGTGACGGGTCGCAAGGATGTAGTGTAAGTACTACTAGTACTAGTATGTAAATCTAGAGCATTGACTGGTTTAAAACAATTAGAAAATGGGGGAGGTGAAGGTCAGGGTTAGGTGGAGCGCTTCCACCAATTGCACAAATGGCGCCCCGCCACTGGCGCCAACCATGTTTTGTGTTTTTAATTTTAAAGTTAACTATTATTGGAAAAGAAACAGGAGAAATGCTGTTTGCCCTTAACGTTCTGCTTTAGTGATCTCTCCCCACCCCCGTCCACACGTGGAGTCACAATGTTAAAAGTTTGTCTTGAGGAAAACAGCACAAATGTATAATAGACAGACAGATAGACAGACAGATAAATAGATATAGACAGATAGATAGATAGATAGATAGATAGATAGATAGATAGATAGATAGATAGATAGATACTAAATGTCCCTGACCTGAGAAGTGAACACCAAGCCGTAGTTGACCCCCAGGCTCTTCCGGCCGAAACATTTGGCAGTGGCTGTCGGGAAGAGGACGTAACTTCCGGAGAAGGAGCCGAAGAGCAAGCAGACGTAAATGAAAAACAGCGGTTTCCCGCCGTATGACGTCACGCTCATTGTCAGCATGAGCGAGCAGAAGGCGGCAGACATGCACAGCAACGCCACCTAATGAAAGAGTTTAGGTTGTGAAAGTTTCGCGCCACTTGCAACACAATAAAAATTAGGTCATGTCAGTAGTAGTGAAGGTTAGAAGTGTTACTTGATTGTACAAAACGCAAAAAAGAAGGAGGAGAGATAAGGACGATAGATGTTTGATAGGAAAGAAAGAGTAAATAACACCAGAGCCCTCGCCAACAACCCATGGTGATAGGTACAATGATGGTGTCATATTGTTTTAAGGCCGTTTTCAACATAATCAGGTTATAATTATAAGAAGTTGGAGACAGACGGACAAAGCGAGAGATAGATAGATACATGTAGATAGATAGATAGATAGAGAGAGATATAGATAGATAGATAGAGAGAGAGAGAGAGAGAGAGAGAGAG